CGAAGGAGATTAGTGGTGAAGTTGTTGTAGTAGTAGAGTAGATGGAGAAGCAGAGGTGAAAGAGAGGTAATGGTAGTAGTAGTAGTGGCAATAGTGGTAGTTGTGGTAGTGGAGTGATGGCGATTGTAATAGTAATGGTAGTCGTAGAGGTGAAATGGCGTTTGCAGTAGTGGTGAAGGTGGTAGAGGAGATGAGTAGTGAGAGAGAGAGATGAGTGAGAGGCACAGAGAGAGAGAGAGAGAGAAAAGAAATGAGAGAAGAGATAGATGAATGAGAGACACAGAGAGAGAGAAAGACAAATAGACAGACAGAGAGAGAAGAGTGATGAATGAGAGAGAGAAAGAAAATAGAGAGAAAAAGATGAAAAAATTGGTGAAAAAATATAGACAGAGAGAGAGAGAAAAAAGAGCGAAAAGAGATAAACGAGAGAGAGATAGAAAGAGATGAACGAGAAAGCGCGAGAAAAAAAAAAGAAGAGAGAGAGAAGAGAGACAGAGAGAGAATATAGATGAAAGAGATAGAGAGAAGAGAGATAGACGAGAGACACAGAGAAAAAGTGAGACAGACAGACAGACAGACAGACAGAAAAGACTGATGAGTGAGAGAGAAAGAGAAGAGAGACAGAGACACAGAGAGAAAGAAAGAGACGAACAGACAGAAAAGAGTGATGAGTGAGACAGAGACAGAGAAGAGAGACAGAGACACATAGAGAAAGGGAGAGACAGACAGAGAAGAGTGATGAGTAAAAGAGGAAAAGAGAAGAGAGACAGAGACAGAGAGATAGGAAGATGAAAAAATGGGCGAAAAGAGAAATATTCAAAAGAGTAAGATGACGTCATTTATAGTGGATCGATAAATCGAGAAGGAGCTCGATAAATAGAGAAGATGAGAGTAAGAGAGTGAGCAAGGCGAACATAGTGAGGAGAAATAGACAAATAGATAAGTAGAGAGAGAGAGAAGAGTGATGAGTGAGAGAAAGACTGGGAGAGAGATAGACAGAAAAAGAGATAGAGAGAGAAAGAGAGAGAGAGAGAGAGAGATAGAGGGAAAGATAGAAAAGAGAGAGAAACAAGAGATGAGCGAGAGATAGACAAAAAGAGAGAGAAATAGAGCGAAAAGAGATAAGCGAGAGAGAGACACAGAAAAAGAGAGAGAAGAGAAATAAGCGAGAGATAGAAAGATAAGAGAGAGAGAGAGAGAAGAAATGAGAGAGATAGAGAGAAGAGAAATGAGCGAGAGAGACAGAGAGAGAAAACAGATGAGAGAGATAGAGAGAAGAGAGATAGACGAGAGACATAGAGAGAAAATGAGAGAGAGAAACAGACAGACAGAGAAAGAAGAGTGATGAGTGAAAGAGATAAAGAGAAGAGAGGGAGATAGAGACAGAGAGACATGAAGATGAAAAAATGAATGAAAAGAGAAATGTTATATCAAAAGAGTAAGAAGACATTGTTTTTTTAAATTTTTTTTGCGACAGAAAAAAGTACTAGAATTTATTCAAACCATTTTGTGACTGTATATATATGAAGCTGTCTCAAAACCACAATCACTATGCTAGATTAGAGTTTTTCAAAAACTCTTTTGAGAAAATTATACTTTCTTGTTTTCCGTGTTATATTGTTTTTACTGAATTTTTTTAATATTTTAAGTATTTTTTTTTTTAATTTTTAGACACACCTAACATAAATACACCTAAAAATTAAAAAAAAAATTGTAAAAATAATCTTTTAAAAATTCACTAAATACCAAAAATACAATAATTCAATACATTTTTTTTTTGTATTTTTATGTATTTATTCATTTTTAAAAATATTTTTTCATAATTTTTTTTAGATACATCTAAGTAAGGTGCATCTAAAAAAAATATTTAAAATTTTAAAAATATTCACTAAATTTTTTTTAAAAAAACATGAAAGTCACTTTTTGCGACGGCAGAAAATGCCGTCTTAAAAAAGTAAAGTATTTGCGACGGCACAATTTGTCGTCTCAAAAAAGCAAAGTATTTGCGACTGCAGAAAATACCGTGGCAAATGCTCTCATTTTTTGAGACGGAAAATTGTGCCGTCGCAAATGTTATGCTTTTTTGATACGGCAAATGGTGCCGTCGCAAATACTCTGCTTTTTTGAGACGGCATTTTCTGCCGTCACAAAAAGTGACTTTTTGAGACGGCAAGTGTGCCGTCGCAGATAGTCCCGTCTCATATACCCACTTTTCTTGTAGTGAATCGGTCCATCACGCACTTGGTGGGTTTCAGTTTTTATGGAGTATTTGTTTCTAAAACCTGTATATTTGTTGTCATGGAAGTTATTGGATCAGTTGTTTTTATAAACTTTTTTTTTTTGAATGATTAGGTGTGTTGGAAATTTAAAGGAAGGAAATATGATCTTGCTAAGCAGTTCAATATGTTGAGAGAGGAAGAGAACAAAGGAAGAAGTTAAAAAAGATGAAGGAAAAAGACAGTGATGAGAGAGAGAGAGAATGAAATGTGTGGATGTAATTTGAGCACAGCAGCAGAAAGTTGAGTGATAAAATAAATTCGGGCTTCTCGAGCCAACAAAGATTCGAGCTACGTAGTGGAGTCATATTATATAATAGTCAATTAGGTTAGAATAGTGATTAGGTAATCAACAAGAAAAGAAAACAAAAAAGAGAGAGAGCAGCTGAAAGAGAGAGCAGCAGCAGCAGAGAGAGAGAGAGTAATCAAAGAAAAACAAGAGAGTGTTGTGTGTGGCGTGAAAAGAAAGGCGGGAAAGAGGAGTGGAGAAGAATCAAAAAAAAAAAAAAGGTTAGGGTTTTGTTTTAGTAGCTCCATTATTTTTTCAAATATTTCTTTGATCTTCAAAAAATAATTGTGAGTACAAAACTCACTTCCCTTTATTTATGTTTAATTCGTTGTTTTTATTTATTTGATGTTAGTTTGATTTTGTATTTACATAAAGATGATAGATTGATTTTAATTATTTTGATTAGTTGTGTATGTCAGGTTTAGGGTTTTTATATGTATTTATTTTATTATTGTAATCACACTCATGGATATATGAAATTAAAATAAACTTAGAACACATAGATAAATTCCTTATACTCCACCATGACTCCATGGATTATTGTTTTATTTGAGTGTTGGTGAGAAAGGGTGTATAAAAAAAAAGATAAAAGTGAGGATTATGAGATTTATTTAAATGCCTTAGGCTTAGCATTGTTATGTTTGTTCTCATGAGTAGATGAGAGATTGTGTATATATGTATTGTTGTATCGTTTTCATGAGTAGACGAGTGCTTTGATTTACGTACGTACGTGTATGTTAACCATCCAGGGAGTGTGGGTCAAACTCCGAACAATATCCCCGTGTAAGTTTGGCTTCGGAGTAATGTTAGGTATACGGGAGACACATGAGATATATGTGTATGCCGGAAGTGAAGAGTCGAAATGATGGAGTTAAGGTACAAATAATTAAATATGAATTTATTGGTATAGTGTGAATTGTATTGATTTGTACATCTTGAAAAATAGTAAACGACCTTGATAAATTATGAAATTTGGGTAGAGTCATGTATGCGTAATTCTAGACAACTTTTGTATTTTAACTTTGTACTAAAAAGATCAATTAGAACTTGTAATCAGATGATCTTGGTTATAGTAGTTTTTTTTCATTTTAACAATGCAGATTTTAGAAACTGTTTTAACTCACGAAACAAACTCATTTTTATTGATTTCAAGAAAACTGAAGTAAAACATTATTCTGAACACTTTCTATGTTTTGAACTTTTCCGAAAAAAATCATCTTAGGTCAGTTTCTTTTCGTTTTCAGTTTCAGATTTTTCGGTTGAATTCCGTCTAAGTTCTTTTATCAAGTTTTTCTCTCAACTTGTTTAGTTTCTACTAAATTCGTTCACGTTGTCTTTTAGAAAATTTGATTATGTACAACTTTTGTTCTTTGAGTTTTGGTTAATTCAAATTATTTAAGTATGAAACGGTGCATTTTTATACTTCTTCAGTAAGTTACTTATGATTAAATTATACTAACTTTATTTTTTTGCAGAATGATGAGTCTTACTAACTTTTTATGCAAGGATGACCCACCATATATTTATTTTTATTTTGTTTATTTTATACTCAATTTATATTTCGTTGTATATGGGTAAGAAACTAAATGTAACCGTATCTTGAGAAACTACCCATTCGTCTCAGTGTGGGTGGAATTACTTGTCTTGTCTCATAACAAGAATTAAATATATTTTTGTTTGTGTCTGGTGGACACGTGTGTGCCAAATATTTGTACTCATACCAACCCGTTTTGTCTTTTGACATCTCGGGTGCGTTCTGTTTGAACGCAACCGAGTTTCCTTTACAGGACTAGTTGAGACTACGAGAAATAACTACGATTGTATGATTGTGGGACATGTCGTTTAGACTTCTTTTATTTTCTTGAGCTTAGGGTTGATATTAATTTATGTATTTATTATTTTTTTTATGACCTTAGTATTTTGATAATTTAGCATGGTTTATAACTTTACATTATTTAAGTTATTTTGACTATTTATTGTTACTTTAATGTTGGAGGTATTGATTAGTTATGAAATTATAGTGGATGGTTTGGTTGGCGTTTTGTTAGTTTTTTTTATCTCTTGTAATCTTTTGAAGATGGAAATTTACTTAAACTCTTTGGAAACGTGAACGTTTAGATTTTATTTCATCCTTAGATGATGGAATATTGATTGGACTTTAATTTTAATTTAATATTTAATTGTTCAATTTTTAAGACGTGACAAGGACTACCAAATAACTTGAACTTTTCCTAGAGTCACGGCTGGCACAAACCATCAAAACTCCTTGGCTCTCCTAAAGTTGGGACCCCATTACTTCTAAAATAATGCAAACTAATCATGTGTTTTTATTTTATTTTTTATTTTTTTCCTTTTCTTCTTGAACCAATCACAGGTAAATAAGAATTGTAGGATTATATTTTCTGAAAGTCTGTAAGATTGTTGCACAAACAATATATACTCTTCTTTTTTCGTTTTTTTTATTCTCAGACAGCCTACATATAGATAGTAGAGGGAATTAACGTCCCCCACTCCCATCATTTGAACTTTCAAAATTTCAGAGGGGAAAAAGAGCCGTTGTGAGAGAGATGGTGCAAAGCAAAAGCAAAACTATAATCTCGTGGGCAGATGAGGTAGAGAAAGAAGAAGAAGAAGAAGCAGCCAGAGCTCAAGTCCATGGAAATCAGAAACCAAACCCACTTGGCTCAGCAAGACCCAGGGAAGTTGTTCTCCATGAGAGAGGGATTGACTGGAGACAACTCGATGAAGATTTCCGAGCTCCCTCCCATTTCAGGTACTCTGCTTTCTTACCACTCTCTGTTTGTTTTCCAAGAAAATATAAGTAAACTTTGATTAATATACTAATTGGCTTGAATCTTGATTGACCCATGATTCTTTACCCCCTTATAGGTCGTTTGTTTTGGTGTTAGTCATAATATATGTACATGAAAATGATAACAATTTGAAATGCATATTAAATATATATTGTTGACATTGCTATTACTGTTAGATTCATTTGAAAATCTTGATTCATCATCAACCATGAAAATGCTAACAGTATTCAGACCCAGAAGGAGAACCCGCTTAAAGAAAACATTACTCCATCAGCTGCAGTGGCTGTTGACAGAAAACAGATGGTGATGCCCCAAAGCAGCCCACAACAAAAGCTCAAAAATGTGAAAATGGACTCGTATGGAAGCAAGCTTTCACAGGGTCCTCAAAACCCCACAAATCACACATCTGTTGTATTTGTTCCTCCACTCAAATACCCACCGAGAGCTCTCCTTCCTAATCTGTTTCCACCAACTCACTCCCCTTTTTATAACCCTTACTTGATCCACACTGGGCCAAAAAAAATTCAGAACCACATTGAGCTTGAAATGGAACAGTTCCAAACCCGCAATGTCTCGAGCCATGGGAGGCACATTCATGTTTACAATGGGGATCATAAAAAACACAAAATCGTGCAAAAACACGGTACTTTTGAGAATGGTAGAAGAAATTTTGAGGCATTTGGTAACACAAGAATACTGAGAAAATCAGCAAGTTCACAGATGATAGGAAAAAAAGGTGTTCTTAGTGACCGCGACATGTACAAGGAGAAATCTTGCTTTTTGAGGCATCGTAACAATAGGATGATGACAATTCCTGCAGTAGAAAAGATTCAATGGGAGAAAATGGGAGGTGAGAATGAACGGCAAAGTTTTCCGGGATATGTGTGGGTTAGTGGGAGAGCTGAAAAGAGAGAGAGGAGGAGCTCAGGAACTGAGAATAGTCATTACCATCAGAAGAGAATATAGACTGAAATGTTGATCTAACCATGCCTTTATATTATATGATGGATTTAATTCGGTTATTGCTTTATGATCAAAATGTAATTCACAGATGTTCACACCAAATCCATTGCCTTTTTATTGAGAATTTACATTGTAATTTGCAACATCTTGTGATTAGTGTCAAATCCACCATGATTTTATGACCCCCATTGCCATCCCTAACCATGGTACATGAAAGTTCAGAAATCCTAATTCAAGATCAAAAGCTGTGTCTTAGGATACATTCCAAAAGATAATAATCTACACCAAACTGAAAGAAAGGCTCATTGCTAAAAAGTTAGATCCTTTGTATGCATCATCATATCTCATCAAACAGACAAACAAACATATCGTAGCAGCATCTAAAAAGTTGTTTTTATCTTGATTGCATTAAAAGTTGCACAACCTACTGCTTGATCAAATGTTCAAACAAATCCAATCCTCCAAATGACCAGATCAAAATGGCGGTCTGAACAACGTAAAAGCATTTAACCCGAATACAAGTCATTATGATTCCATACTCTATAAATTAAGAAAGGTCCAAACGGGCTTAGAGTGTCAATGGGCCATGTCAATTATGCCATTGGAGACATGAACTAGTGGAGTTTGAAATGGACCTCTGTTTAATCCCATGGCCCAAACCCAAACCCAAACCCAAACCCGGGCGGCCAACTACCAACCATTATGCAGAGTGACAAATTCGGTTAGAGAAATGTCAACGACTCATAATTTAAATTTTTTAATTTATAATGACGTAACAAGTGGATTAAGTCATAAATGGTAGCGTGCACAATAAATTAAAATTTGACAGTTATCATACTACATCAGAGTGTTTTGAGAAGTTGATAAAAAGTAAATTTTTAAATTTTTTTAATTTATTTTATCTTTTTATGAATAAAAAATATAAGAGTTAAAAGTTGATTTTTTATTTACTTCCCAAAAGACCCCAATACTTGTGTCAAATTGTAAAAAAAAAAAAAAATCCCAAATATTTTTCGGCTATATTTTCTTGCATTCATTGCCACAACGGCAGATAATAACTGCATACCAACTTTGCTGAAAAAGTAGCAAAATTATATATATTTAAATCATAGCTATATAAATCAACCTTTTCAATCGCAAATTCATTATGAGTGAAAGGGTCGTGTCATGTCGGTCATTAAAGCTGCCCCACCCAAAAGGGCTTCCGAGGCTTCATTTGTGAGTTTTTTTTTTAAAATATATTTTCCACCATTTTTTCCTTTTTAGTATTTTTTATTTAAATTTCGAGTTAAAAATTTAATTTTTTTAAGTTCAATTATACTAGACAACTCCAAAATAAATAAATAAACATAGTATATTTTTTGAAAAAATCCACCATCTTTATAATGAATTTTCAAAAAAAAAAAAACACTATTTATTAAAAAAAATTTAAATCAATCTAAAAGACATTTTTTTAAAAAAATATATACATATATTAACGACAAAAAACTGTCTTGATCATTCTCATTCACAGACCAATTAAGTTTTAATAGGTCCTATTCATTGAAAACAAATAAATCATAATTAAATTTAAGAATATGCATTAAATAACTCAACCCAAAATTAATGAAATTTTTTAAAATGGTTTGTGCTAAATTGGGTACTAATTGAGGGTGTTAATTTTTTACCACACAATCAAATGAGAAACTTAGCTGAAAAGCACTAACAGAAGAAATTATGTCCAACAACCTGTAACAAGAAAATAAGAATTCCGCGGTGGTTCATCCACCTGGGGGCAGTTCGATGATCAAGTCAGTAAAACTTTATCTCTCACAGATAATAAATAGTACTTAAACTCACCAGAAAGAACTTATCTCTTCACCTTGCCGTTATAACCAGCAATGACATGATCCTGTTAAAAGCCTCACTTCAGTGGACTCAGACTCAATACTCATCCTGGACTCTCAGTTAGATAGGGATAAATTCTTTACGAGCCTTATCTTTATCCATACTGAGATCCTCTTCTGTTCTAGAACTCTTGTCCCTTATCCGGATACTTTGGATTCTGACATCTCCGCATATAATCTCAGTCCAGTCAGGATCATCTCGACTAGCATGACCAGGCCGAGAATGAAAATGGTCTGTAAACGAGAATGAAAAAATCCACTATCTTTATAATGAATTTTCAAAAAAAAAAAACTATTTATTAAAAAAAATTGAAGTGAATCTAAAAGACAATTTTTAAAAATATATATACATATATTAAGGACAAAAAAGTGCCTGATCATTCTCATTTACAGACCAATTAAGTTTGAATAATACTATATGCCCTAATTAATGTACACACTAGTACACGAATAGATAATGTGGCATAATTTTAGAAATTTTAAGTATTTATAATTTGTATAATAAATAGAGTCATTAATGATATCATAACACTAGCTAGTATACTAGTGTGTACACTAATTGGTGCATGTAGTACCACCGATTAAGTTTTAATAGGTCATACTCATTGAAAACAAACAAGCCTCCGTTTGGGAAGTGGGTTGACTTTTTGGCTTTTTTAGCTATTTTAGCCTGGGCTAAAAAGTTTAGTTTGGGAAGGGCTTTTTGGCTTTTTTGACTTTTTTTGTGAGAGAAGAGTGTAATGATTATGGGTTGGATGTGATGTTTTGTTTGTTATGGCTAAAATAGCCTATTTTGTTTTTTGTGGCTAAAATAGCCAAAAAAGCCCAACCAACTTCTTCCCAAACGGTGCCTCAGATCATAATTAAATTTAATAATATGCATTAAATAACTCAACCCAAAATCACCCATTTAATGAAATTATTTTAAATGGTTTGTGCTAAACTGAGTACTAATTAAACAAATAAACTTAGAGTAATTATACCTAATGAGTTGACATCCTGAAATTTCTTATTTTTCATCGAAACATTATTATTATTCTTGTAAATTCACAAATGATATTATCACATAATTAATAATGTATTTTTGGTATAATTTCTTTTGTTTATGAATCACTTTTCAATAACTTACTCTAACTTTGTATTTAGATCATTGATTCGGAAAGAAAAAAAAAATTGTAATATATGAAAAATATATAAAATATAACTACATTTTGTACAAATTTTTTATTTTATTTTATTTTTCAATTCTCTTCTCAAATCTATGATTTTCTCAAAATAACCGTTTACAATTTCCCCAAAATTGATGTACTTGTTCGATTTTCATTTTTAAAATTCACTTTTTAAAAAGTTCTACATTTCCATTTTTTGTTTTTTTTTTATTGGGTGAAACACTAATACATTTTAGGGCAAATTACATATACACCCCTCCAGGTTTGACAAAATTACAGATACCCCCTGAGGTTTGAGAAATTACGAATTCCCCCCTGAATGCTATATTTGCATAAGAAATTAGGGGGTAATTTGTTATGAAATATAAACCTCAGGGGGTAAATTGTTATGAAAATACAAACCTCAGGGGGCGGGATGTAATTTCCAAAACCTCAGGGGGGTATCTGTAATTTAACCAAACCTGGAGGGGTGTATATGTAATTTGCCCTAAATTGTAAAATGTGATCTTATGAATTGTTTAGTCTTTCATTTTTTCTTATAAACCTAAAAGTCCTATTAAAGTGAAAATTACATAAAAGGGTAATCACTTTCATGTTTGAATTTAGTTTTTTAGGGATAAAAGTAGGTTTCTCAAAATGTAAAATTGCACATTTAGACAATTTGTACTATAGAAGTTTTGGATCTTCCCTCATTTTGGAACCAATCTGACATTATAAATAAAAACCTAACACTCTAATGTTACACTCCAATAACGTAACACTTCAATATAACACACTAAAAATTTTTTTTGTGTACTTTTCCCAAACGTAACAATGTAACACTCAAAAAAAATCTTTGATGTACCTTTTCCAAACGTAACACTCCAATCAGTGTAATTCCAAACGTAACACTTTAATGTAACATGCTCCAATGTAACATAGAACACTAAAAATTCTTTAGTGTATTGTTTTTAAACATAACACTTACAGTTTGAAATTATATATTTGTCCAAAACTTACTAAGGAATATTTGTACTCATTTTGAAATAGTTTAAAGAATCTCACATTCTTTTTTTTCTTAGTGTTACATTGGAGTGTTACGTTTAGAAAAAGTAGATTAATTTTATTTTTATTTTTTTTGGTGTTACATTGGTGTCACAATTGTGAAAAGTATACCAAAGAGTTTTTTGTGTGTTACATTAAAGTGTTAAGCTAAGAAATTTTTTTAGAGTGCTATATTAAAGTGTTATGTTTGAAAAAAATACGCAAATGAGTGTTTTTATGTGTTACATTAGAATCTTACGCTAAGAAGTTTTTATGTGTTACATTAGCGTGTTATACTAAGGATTTTTTTAGAGTATTGTATTAGAGTATTACATCTGGAAAAAATACACTAAGAAGTTTTTTTTATGTGTTACATTATAGTGTTACACTAAGGAATTTTTACGTGTGTTACATTAGAGTATTACACAAAAGAGTTTTTTTTTTTAATGTTACATTAGAGTGTTACGTTTAAGAAAAATACACTAAGGAATTTTTTTTTTATTACATTAGAGCGTTACATTAGGGAATTTTTTTTTAGTGTTATATTAGAGTGTTACATTTGAGAAAAATACAATAATGAGTTTTTTTATGTATTACATTAGGGTGTTACACTAAGATTTTTTTTTTTTTAGTGTTACATTTTAGTGTTACATTGGAGTATTATAGTTTGAAATTATTCATTTGGCCAAACTTACCAAGTAATTTTTGTACTCCTTTTGAAATATTTGAAAAATCTCACCTCCTTTTGGAGTTTAAATAATCTCATATTTTTGTTTTCTTTTTAAAATGTTTTCCAAATAAAAAAAAATTATCTAAAAATGTATTACTAATTTGATTCTTATATATTGTATACCTACTTTTCTAACACAAGAAAAAAAGAGAATGAACATAATTGAAATAAGGGTATAACTGTAAATCTAATTTTTAAATAATATATTAAGGCCTCGTTTGCGAACAGGCTAATTTAGAAACTTTTTGGCTATTTGGCTAAAATATGAGCTAAAAAAACTAGTATGTTTGGGATGATTTTTTGGCTTTTTACGAAA